AGCACCTAGGGCTTGCCGATCGCATGGTCGGCGGTTCGAATCTCCGCGGCGGGGTGCGCCCCCGTTGTTCGGTCCCAGCGCCTGCCAACCTAGCAGTTCGAAAGCACTCCCGGGTGCAAGTAGATAAATAGGGACCGCTTACTAGCGGGAAGGTAAACGGCGTTTCCGTGTGCGGCTCTGGTTCGCCAAATGTAGCTTTGTCACGCTGGCCACGTGACCCGGAAGTGTCTCCGGACAGCGCTGGCCCCCGGCCTCTTGAGTGAGATGGGCGCACAACCCTAGAGTCTGTCAAGACTGGCCCGTACGGGCCGGGGTACCTTTACCTTTACCTTTTAAAGTTTAGAAACGCACCCTTTAAAGGCAGCCTTGAGCCTTTAAGCCTCAAGCAGGCATTCTGTGGTCAAAAATAAAAAGCGGAACCTGCGACATTCCTGTAATTTTTTGAACAGCATCTAAAAGAGCACCAAGAAGAGGAATATAACCTTCCACTTACCTACTACCTGGGATCCTACCTTACATCTGGAAGTGCACATATAGTAAAAAGAGAATAACAATAATATTGGCTATCACTTGCCGCATGTTATTCAGTCCTATATTCCAGATAACCTCGTTTTGCACTCTGAAGTCACTAACAGTCTTGGACCAATGGGAACATTTTGAATTTTGCGAGAGTGCTGAGGTCACCAGTCACAAAATGGCTGACATTTTGTGAGGTGTAACACAACATTAGAAAGAATGTGCACATCGTTGCTTCCCCTTCCCATCCCCTAGGCCTCCTATTTACCATGGGGAGTCAGCTATGTCCTGCTGGTTCTGCTTGTGGAGATAAAAAGGCCCAAGAACCCCATTTTTCCACAATGGCAAGGCCTAGGTTGCCATCATTACCAACTTACCTGGGAGTAAGCCTCATTAACAACAAACCTGTTGTTGAAGTAGACATGCATACCATTGATCTGTATAGTTAACCATACAGTTAACTGAACATCAGCTCCTGCACAGCAAAAGACGCATCTAAAATATGGGTTTTGGATGGGTGGCAAACAAGGTTATGCTTACATCATTCATATGAAAAAGGGTATTTAAATCCATTCCAGGATGCACAGAATTAACACAGAAGTAGACTACAACTCCCATCATCCCTAGCAAGACCAGTGTTCAGGGGTGATGGGAAATGTAGTCCGAAAACAGCTGGAGACCCAAGTTTGGGAAACACTTGCTCTAAAACATTTTTTTAAAAAAATCTATTCGCCCTTGCATTTCCAGTCTGACCTTGCCAGCAGACCAGGTCTGTATTAAGTGATATGTCTCATAGGAAGGGTGCCTGAGCCTGGGATTCTGGACTAGGCCGCAAAATACTCAGGTCACATTTTGAAGCTCCAGACACCAGATGGCTTCTCTCCACTGCTTGTCCTGTCATAGTTTGTTTCCGTGATATTCCTCTGCTCACCCAGAAGAGCCAACCGTTGTCCACAGCAGGCCTTAATCATTTAGGGAACAAATTCCAAAGTGGGGAGTTAAGGATTGGAAGGAGTGTCTTTAAAATAATAATAAATAATAATCACACAAGTATCCAAATGGGTAACTTTTATTTGTGGATAAAAATTAAGGCTCACAGTACTTATCATTTACAAGCAGAAAATGTTTTCTTTCTTTAAAAAAACGAGAATGCTAGGAATTATTTCCCTATACAAATTCCTTTGAATACGTTGACATGTCTCACTGAAGGACTAGAGAGGGGTAAACAAACTGAACAAGAGCAACCGCATTCATAAGCTACATTCCCTTCTGGACCACAAGAAGACGATAATCTGTGTTTCTCCATCCGGCTGAGATTACATGAATGAACACGATGAAATACATTCAAGGACTGGAAGGATGGCAATGAAGCTACATTCCACTTCCCTCACAAACTAACTGTGTGGTTTAAAAAAAATAAAATAAAGAAATACCCTGCTCCATACAATACTGGAATCTGGATTCAGATTTAACAAATCACTCATGATGCAATGCCTCTTACACATGTGTTTGCTTCTGGCTGCAATGTTAATCTTCTTAATAAAGTTTGCCAAACTCCCATTTTCTTCACGAATCCTTTTTCCCCAAAAAACAAAACAAGCTTATAAAGTTATAGCCCAGAGCTGACTTAAACGCATACATTTGTTAAGATGGAAATCCTATAATTTGACTATCTGTGCATCTAACATAGTGAACATGGACACAAAATACTCTTAGCTCCAGCTGCAAAGGTTACCGTCAGTAGACACACCGCTCAGTTAAACCCTCTGGCTCTTATGAATGGAACCATGCATTATATATACCTCATTTCTCTAGCTTGGACCATAACTATAATAGGGTTACATATTATATGTTGAACATCAGCTTTTTAAAAAAAGGACATTTAAAATGGCCAAGTAAACAATATCAAAGAACAGCAATAGCTCAAGGAACATCCCCCTGCTATTAACCTGACTGTCTAGGAGGCATCTGAATAAGAGTTCCCACCACGCAAGAGCTTGCAAGTGATCATTACATTATACTCTCAGGTGCCATAATCTCACCAGCAGGCATAAAGAGGACTTCCTAGTAGAGTTTGCTAAGAAAACACTTGGGTCTGGATTGCTCTTCTGCTCACTTGACCACACCCATTCCCAAACACGGACTATACAGGAAAGCACTTCTGTTGCACACCCTGGGTTTGGATGACACAGGGCAAACAGATTTGCAAATCATCTGCCATGGATGCTTCACAGTTGAGATTCCTGCATTGCAAGGGGTCAGACTGGATGGCCCTCGGGGTCCCTTCCAACTGTACAATTCAATGATTTGCCTACTGCATTCCTACACACTGGACCATGCCACCTAGTTTACTCGCTCATGTACATGTTCCAAGACCTCTGCAGGAAAGGTCTTCAGGAGACAACATGTGGCATGGTGAGGCAAGTTAGCATAGCAAGAGAACCGCCAGCTCATCCCAGCTCTCCAAACGCCAGGTACACCTGCCCCATCATAATAATGGTTTTATAGCAAGTACCTTTTGCCCTTATTTCCCTTTTATCCGTCCCTCTGCTTTATCCAGCCAGATGCTCTACCACACATCCGGCAAGACCATCCAGCGAGCCCTGACCTCTGCATCTTAACCAGCCATGTTTTGGTTAATTCACAAAAGGACACCGAAAATCATATTGAGCAGAAGGACCCTTTTTTTGTCAACAGAAGCGACTAGTTCACTGCCCCTCCAACAGGTTTTCACTTGTCCTGCGGTGACCTTCCGATCCATCAATGCATGGCGGAATGGTCGTCTGTATCCTGCTAATCAACGCAGTACTACTTGGGCACTTGAGAACTATCGGGTACAAATCAAAGTTTGTGCAGGGTTACAGTGATTTGTGGTGCGCTAAGGCCGTATTCAGAACGGGTGAGTGAAGTCGTTGCAGCCCTATTCTCTTTACAGTGGTACCTCAGGTTACATATGCTTCAGATAACAGACACCACAAACCCAGAAATAGTGCTTCAGGTTAAGAACTTTGCTTCAGGATGAGAACAGAAATCATGCTCTGGCAGCGCAGCAGCAGCAGGAGGCCCCATTAGCTAAAGTGGTGCTTCAGGTTAAGAACAGTTTCAGGTTAAGTACGGACCTCCGGAACGAATTAAGTACTTAACCTGAGGTCCCACTGTATTCTAGCATTTTAAGCCCTCTTCTACCATCTTAACAGCTATGGCCTCCCCCTAAGGAACCCAGGAACTATAGTTTGTTGGGAATTGTAGCTCTGTGAGGCGTCAAACGACAATTCCCAGCACCCTAAACAAAGTAGAGTTTTCAGGATTCTTTGGGGGAAGCCATGATTGACAGTGGATTAAAGAGTGCTTTAAATATAGGGTGTGAGTGTGACCTTAAGGCTGTTCTCCTGTCCATCTACCCTGACAAGATGCTGTAGAAAGCACCTCCATGTCAGACGAAGCTATGTGGCTCAATACCCACACATATTGAAAACCACCCAGCTTCTGATCCTTACCCAAACCAGAGCCGAGAGGTTAACTCTATTTACCGTATTTTTTGCTCTATAAGACGCACCCGACCATAAGATGCACCTAGTTTCAGAGGAGGAGAACAAGAAAAAAATATTCTCTCCTCTCTGTGCAGCACCTCTCCAGCAAAGCGGGAGGAGAAATGGAAGGGGCTCTGTTTCTCCTGCTGCTTTCGCTGAAGGGGCACTGCATAGCTTTCCCTCTCTGCGCAGCGCCTCTCCAGCGAAGTGAAGTCAGAACAGCAAGAGGGATCACTGCGCAGCGATCCCTCTTGCTGTTCCGGCTTCTGGGATAGCTGCGCAGCCTGCATTCACTCCACAAGACGCACACACATTTCCCCTTACTTTTTAGGAGGGGAAAAGTGTGTCTTATAGAGCGAAAAATACGGTAACCCTTCTGACTTATTGGTGGTTTATTTTTCAAGGAATGCACAAACTAATTTATATCTAGATTGGCCCGGCTGCCTCCAAAACCCAATCACATACGAATCAGCACATTTTAAGAAGAAGAGGAGGAGGAGTTTGGATTTGATATCCTGCTTTATCACTACCCAAAGGAATCTCAAAGCAGCTCACATTCTCCTTTCCCTTCCTCCCCCACAACAAACACTCTGTGAGGTGAGTGGGGCTGAGAGACTTCAGAGAAGGGCGACTAGCCCAAGGTCACCCAGCAGCTGCATGTGGAGGAGCGGAGAAGCGACCCCGGTTCACCAGATTAGGAGTCTACCGCTCTTAACCACTACACCACACTGGCTTGGAAAGGAGTACACAGAGAGCCATTATTCCCCCTTGCTTTTCCAAAGCAGCCTCATATAAAATGTAAGCCCAACGGTATGAATGATAGTTCAGCATAAAGACAAAGACAAAAACTGAGAAAGGGCAGATAAGATTTTGATGGCTGCAAGGTGGATTGTTCCCTCCCTTTGATTTTGCCTGAACCGCAAGATGCATTTCCAACTGTATACATAATTCATGTTTGGCTCCCTTGTAACTGATTTAATGTACATTAAATATAGATATCACTGCACGGTGGGGGAAATGTATGCTTTTACATTTTTAAACAAAACTTGCTTTAAAAAGCATTATGGAGGAGGGACAGGAGAGCAAGGGGGGGGGGACACACAGTCATTATTTGAGTGCCAGGTGTTATTGTTGTCTTAAAAGTCAACACTTATTGCCATGGGCTTAATACTCCAAACGATATGGAACAGGAATTCATACAGTACGCAGCAAAACAAATTATACATTGATTCCACAACTCAACAATACCTACTACTCCATTTGGCAAAATATTTATTTATAATAAATCTGTTTCAAAAGCAGTTGTTGGTCGCTTTCCCGCCCCACCCCACCCCCAAACCCATTATTTTAATAGGCTCCGACATTGGTTTTGGTAAATGTAAATAAACGGTCTCTTTTTACACAGTATACAAAAGAAAATGAAAATAAAAAATAAAAAGAGACATTGAAATGACGTAACAGTAGAAACAGTCAATAAGACCCAAAAAAAGGCAAAGCAATATGAATCTATCTGCACGTAGGCAACACTGCCCTAATTATTTACCCGTACGTATCCTCAGCCCACTTACCTTGCTCCCCGCCCCCCCCCCCGCCCCCAACATCATTCTTAATTTGCAGATTATGCTCCAGGAAAGGGGGGGGGGAGAGAGAATCACATATGATGTAGCAGCAGCTCCAGCGACTCTGTTTCACAGTACTGCATGTCAACACTGGGAATGGTTTCTGATATAATTTAAAACTGCATACAGTACTTTCATACAAGGAGGGGGAGGGAATAATTATTCCCACTCAGTTGTTCCTGGTGGTTTTGAAGTCAAGTCATACATCACCCGGGAGATGCCAGGAATCTTCTTAATCTCTGCCACCATCTTCAACACAACCTGCGTTTATTTAGGAACGAAACAAAGTGAGAAGAGCAGTTAAGTGACAGGCTCCCTGGTCTGAATGAGGGATAAATCGGGGATGTTATGTAAGGCACAGGGTATTCATTAGACTACTTTACCCAACTGTCTAGAAAGGAGTAGGAATGATGCATCAAAGTTTTAGAATATAGCCTGGTATTATTTTGTTTGCAAAAACAAAAACAAAAACAAAAAATCAGGCAAACATTTTGGAGAGGAACATTTCGACTTCCAAAACGTTCGGAAACCAAAGCGCGGCTTCTGGTTGGTTGCAGAAAGCTTCTGCAGCCAATCGGAAGCCATGGAAGCCCTGTCGGACGTTTGGGTTCCAAAGAACGTTTGCAAACCAGAACACTCACTTCCGGGTTTGCGGTACGTGGGAGCCAAAACATTAGACTTGCAAGGCATTCGGGTTCCAAGGTACGACTGTACAGTGTAGGCCTGGGCAATGTACTGATACATCGCCCAGGAGCGGATTGAGGGCCAGAGCACACATTTATTTCTGTGCTACAAAAACGAACTTTGAAACTATTTTGAATAAGGGAACAAACACAGTTTCCATATTAGCAAAGAAAGAAAAGGCCGTTCCGAATGATTATTCTGAAAGTTTTACCTCTTCTGGTATCTCGTTGCCGGGAGTCGCTGCAATACCCGTCATGAAATCACTAGTGATGAAGGTCCGAATGACCACAGATCTTTGACAGGAAGGCTGCTTCTGAAGGGGATCTCGGTCAAAATGCAACGGTGTCAAGATGACTGGCATCTGGCTGATTTTTCCGGCATAACCTTGGCATAAGAAAGGAAGAATATTGCAATTCACAAACTGTTATATTGACAGAGAGAGCCGGCGTAGCATAATGATTAGAGCAGATCGTCAGGAATGATGGAAGTTGTGGTGGAACAACACCCAGAGGTTGGCCGGTCCCCCATCCCTCAATTATAGTGCTGGACTAGGACTTGGGAGACCAGAATTCCTACTCCTGATTCAGTCGTGAAGCTCACGGCTGGTCTTGGGCCAATCACTATCTTGGCCTAATCTATGTCACATGGTTGTTCTCAGGATAAACTAGGGAGAGGGAGCTCATTTTGTCATCCTGAGCTCCTCTAAGGAAGGGCAGGATACAAACGAAAACAAAGAGCAGCATAAAGACAGACTGTACTCTATGGTACAATTCAGAAACTGCTGTTGGTTAAGAGCTGAATGCATCAAATTAGTTTCTTTTAAAACTTTCATGTGATTCACTTTTGATGTAGTTTTTCTGCTACAAAGTCAAGAAATTGCAGTGTCCCAGAAGAAAATTCAACTTTCTGAAGCCAGGGTTCTACAAAATAAACATCTGTTATGCAAACTTTTACTTTATTGTCTTGCACCAAAATCTGGGTTGCTTGATGAATTCTGAACTGCTGTTAAGTGGTCTTTGCCAATGGCGACTCAAGGGCAGCAGACCTCTTAGCAATTAACTAAGCAATGACCTTCCACTGAACAAAGGCACATACTAACCAGACTCCCTGAGAATATTATGAGCCTCAAAATCAGCTTGCCGCAACGTGCTGAGGACTCCCGTTGTCAGGAAAGTGGGAGTAACGTCTGTGGGAGGTTCTTTGACAGGTGGGCCAAACACATAGACCACTCTACGGAGGGAAGAAAATGAAGCGTTGGAGTGTGTGGTATATTGCAAACTGAATAATGCAAGCACTTTGCTGGCTAGGGCTAAAAGGAGTTTCAGTCCCCAACTTCTTGTGCCAGGTTAGGGAAAGATAAGCAATACATCTATAAACTACCAGAATAGCAGACAGCATTATAAATTCTGGCTTTGTCCAACCATGTAAAACTTGGGTGCACAGTGCCTTTAATTCCCACAGGCGGTTGTTAAATCATTTATTTAAAAAGCCAGGTATCCCGTTTGGCAAAACGTTAACATTCAGAATATGTGCAGTCTTTTTATTCCAACACAAAGCAAAAGTTTCCTTCCTTCCCTTGCTTTAAAAGCCCCCACGGTTAAGAGCACTCATGCCTGCAGCACCTGACACTTAGCTTTCCAGTATACAGTGGTACCTTGGTTTTCAAACGAATTATTTTCTCTTTTTGAATGGAGTGGAATGCTTCTTTAAAAAACAAGGCTTTACTCTGACTTTGTAGTATGCAGAGCATTTTAGCTCCTGTGCCCTGTAACTGACACATACAATACTCAGATCCACCTAGAAGGGTGCCTGCCCTCTTCATGAGATAAGCTTACAGAGCCTTTATTGCTTGTGAATTGCTGCTGGCCTCCCTTTGATGGTCTCTGGCCTACAAGTTTCACGATACCAAAAGCTTTTGACGTGGCTTCTCTCTCTTAAGGTCAACCTTTTCATCCCTCCCATCAATTCACTCTGACACTAACAGTGCAATCCTACGCTTGTATTCAAAGGGACACACTCAGGGTAGCAGCTGACGACATTCATGCAAGCCTACATGTGCTTACACAGAAGTAAGCGCCGCTAAACAGAGTGGGGCTTACTTCTGAGTCAAGGCAATTCTGTCATAAATGTTATGACTATGCCAAAGTACAATTTTATTTGATAAATGTGTTGCAACTGGTGCATTTAATGTGGTTAAAGCGATAAAATAAGTTTAGGTTTGATAAGAAGGTACTGCATATGTACTTTGATTCCCAGCAACCCTAAAACAAGATCCCCGTCCCGCTGGCTTCAAAATTTCCAAAAGTTTTACATCTCCAATTTATAATAAGCACTCAAGAAAGGCAGTAGCACATTCTTCTATACGGTAGTTTCGCTTTTACTTCTCGTGTGTAAGTTTAAAATTTACCAAAGCAATAATGTAAGCAAACAACAAAATCAGCAGCAGCTGTATTTTTTTAAATACTGCAGATATATACCGGTTTATGTTGTGACACATGCGGGGGATGAGTCTGGATAGGAACATAAGGGACTCCCAGTGTGGCGCATCTTTGCTGGAGATCCCACATACATAGCTGTAGGAGCGGCAATCACCCTGCAAAGCAGCAAAACAAAATCGACAGCTGAAACATTTGCTGAAACCTCATCTAGTTCTTTCCTTGCAACAAGTTATATACCGTTCAACACTCCAGTTTGCACACTGCCATGTATGGTGATTAAATTAGCAAAAATTAAACCAGAAAAAGCTTACTTGAAATGCCTGTTGAAATTATGCCTTCCCAAAATGCCTTAAATTCAATGGGGGGGGGGTCCTACCTGATGTCAGCCAAGGGGCAGCTTCACAGAACCAGGCACAGAATGCTGAATATGCACAGATTCTGGCAGATATGAGCTTTGCATCTCGGTCATGGGGGACCACTAGACATGACTCCCCTGAAAACCTCTGAGATCAGACAGGAATATAAAGCATCAAGTGGTCTGTACTCTGGACCCAAATTAAGGGCCTTGCAACAAGGACTGGTAAGGTAGGGCTGAGCGATATACCGTATTAAACATTGTGATATACCTATACAGTGGTACCTCGGTTTAAGAACAGTCCTGTTTACGAACGATTCCGTTTACGAACTCCGCAAAACCGGAAGTAGTGTCCTGGTTTGCAAACTTTACCTTGGTCTAAGAACGGAATCCGAACGGTGGAAGGGCACTGGCGGCGTGAGGCCTCATTAGGGAAAGTGCACCTCAGTTTAAGAACGGTTTCGGTTTAAGAACGGACTTCCAGAACGGATTAAGTTCGTAAACCGAGGTACCCCTGTATTACGATGTCTGAAAGAAGGATGCAACTATGTAGAGGCAAACGGAGTACTGGCAGCTGCTACTACTTAGGGGTCTAAAACTGATGCATTTTTACTTACCTTTAACAGCTGTTATTTTATAGTAATAAGCAACAGGAAGCAGGAGCCACGAGAGAAGTGATAGCCGGATTCGCGGTTTCCCCCATATTGGAATTTTTTACACAGTGCACGTGCATGCGCACACACACACATACACTGTGATTCTCGATAAATTGCCAAGTCATACATTATGAAACTGTTATCATGATACGGACGTCAAAACAATTTTGGACAATGTATTGATATATCACCCTGCCTACTGGTAGCACATGGGTAGCCAGTACAGTCGTACCTCAGAAGTCGAACGGAATCCGTTCCAGATGTCTGTTCAACTTCCAAAACAATTGGGAACCAAGGCGCGGCTTGCGACTGGCTGCAGGAACCTGACGGACGTTCGGGTTCCGAAGAACGTTCGCAAACCGGAACACTCACAAGGCATTTTACTTCCGAGGTACGACTGTACAAGCTTTTAAGCACCAGAGTTATGGGCTTGTGAAAGCCCATCCTCATCAACTCTAGCTTGCGGCATCTTAAATCAGCCAGAGCATCCAGGCCAAGCCCAAGTGTTCCACACATGGTGCATTGCAATGATCAAATTGCCAATCTAGGAATCACCAGGGTGAGGCAAGACCGTTTCAAGGGTGTAGCTGGCAAAAGGCACTCCTAGCCACCTGAGCCTCTAAGGAACTAAGATGAATCCAAGCGCAGCCCTGAACAGCGAGCCCCTTCTTTCAGAGGGATTGTGACTCTGTCCAGAACAGACAACTGGCCTATCTCCCAGAGCCAATTAAGCTACAATGCATGCAGTTCTGAGCCTTTAATTGGCTTTGTGTCTGACAGGTGCCTGAACTGCACCAGGAAAGCAGAACTGGTTTGTTTGTTTGTTTACTTATTTATTTATTGAAAAGCATTTCTCAACCCCAACGTATTTCAAGTATCACTAAGTGGCATAGAAAAACAGCACAAAAATAATAATAATAGGACAGTATAAGGAGGACAGTAAAACGAGTCTTATAAAAACAGAACAGGTAAAAGCAGAATTTTGTCTGCAGCGAGCAAATTGGTAGGAATATACGTATAAGCCTCCAGCTGCTGCTTCTCCAATGGAAGCCTGAACCTGATGGAATACAGTGTGAGTGATGCTATTTAATCTTAAGAATGCTTCAGTATTTCCAAGCCTAACCAAAGTGACCATTCAGACATTTAGAGGCGGTCACATATATTTTAAAAAATAGCTCTTCCATTGCTTAATCCCAATCCATTTTGGACGTACTCTATTTTGGCTCCAAAAACGCTAAATTTGTTACCTGCAATCTAGCCACGCAAGTTTTACGTATGATTACCACAGCGTCAACGCACTCACCTGTACTCCTACAGTTTTGATTGGCAGCAGAAAGGCATTCAACGAATGTAGACTTGTGATTTGCATCAGTTTCTCCTGGTCTTCCTCAGTTGTACATGCTTTGACCCTCTGCAACAGAGTGTGAGGCTGGACAGCAAAGGGGAAAGTCCAGTCAAAACACCTGAGATTATTACTCAGCTACGTCTCACTGGAAGCTAGTGTTTTGCATAAAGGCAGAGGTTGGAAAATAAGGGGTTCTTCAACAAAGAGGCAGGTGTGTGGCTAGACCAGTGCTGCCATATCATGTTAGTTTAAGGTCCAATTTGTTATTTCTAAACCACCCATCATCTACTACACACGGTACAATATATAATCCATGGGTTGGCAGACTAAGGCCCGGGGGCCGGATCCGGCCCAATCGCCTTCTAAATCCGGCCCGCGGATGGTCCTGGAATCAGCGTCTTTTTACATGAGTAAAATGTGTCCTTTTATTTAAAATACATTTCTGGGTTATTTGTGGGGCCTGCCTGGTGTTTTTACATGAGTAGAATGTGTGCTTTTATTTGAAATGCAATTTTGGGTTATTTGTGGGGCATAGGAATTCGTTCATTTTTATTTTTATTTTCAAAATATATTCAGGCCCCCCACAAGTTCTGAGGGACAGTGGACCGGCCCCCTGCTTAAAAAGTTTGCTGACCACTGAATCAGAGGCATTCCCAGTTGAAAGCACTTGGCTACTCCTGTGCTAAATGCAAGATAACATGGTGCTCTTCAAATGCTGTTGGAATCGACTCCAACCAATCCAGCCAGCATAGCCAATGGCAAGGAATGCTGGGAGTTGTAGTCCCAGCAACACTGGGAGGGCACCATAAGGGTAGAAACCAAGACAGAACACATAAAATGGGGAGGGGATTCATCTTGAGAACTTTATTGAAGGAAGAAAAGACACTGCAGGGCCTACTCTGCAAACAATGGCTTAAGCAGAACTGACAGGGAAAGCCAGCATAATCTGGTGGGAAACACAGGAAGGGAAGTTGAGGATATGGAGCAGGAAGGATAGGAAGAAAGTGCACAAGAATGAATAATGTCTTGAGGGTTCTTCAGCAACTGGCTTAAAGAAATTTAAATAAAGGGACAATTAAGCCAAGCTTATCTATCGCAGTGGCTTATCATAATCCACATAGGAATTTATACCCTTCAATTCTAGTCACAATAATTACCTTTTTAACACTCGCAGAAAAGTCTGCTATAATTTTCAAAATGTTGTTCGTTTCAGGGAAGTCTTTGCAAACATACGGTTCTTCGGCACATATTACCCTAATTGCAAGGCCAGGACCTGGAAAAAAACCAGTATTGGAACAGCACTGTGGAATCAGTTACCAACATATAAGTGGCAATTTGTATTTCAGTAATGCTACGTACATGACTGCACTTAGGAGTGTTTTGGCCATGCTGCCATTTATCTGCAACACGCTTGGCTTGCATATGCAAAAGCAGCAGTGAGGTCTGAAGCACTATTTACTCTTATTGTGAGGCTTCACTTGAGAAAAAGAAAAGGGCTGTATGCTCACTCCTGCTCCCAGCTCCATGTGCTACTTCCTTGATCTCCCTTGCCCTATATTTGGTTTCCGTTTCTCCTCCCCACCAAATAGCCCAAACCCCTTCGCATGCTTCAGCTGCAAGGCAAGCTTGGAACAGTCTACTCTGCATTGTTTGGAAAGACGATCATGTAGTGAATCCTGCAAGACCTGCTCCCTGCTTGCCTGGCGTATTTTCACCTGGCTTGGGAGGCCAGGGCCTTGACTGTTTCTGCAGTTCAGGGTGGCTACAGATTGTGTGGGGAGGGCATTGTCTAAGGCAGGCATAGGCAAACTCTGCCCTCCAGATGTTTCGGGACTACAACTCCCATCATCCCTGACCACTGGTCCTGTTAGCTAGGGATGATGGGAGTTGTAGTCCCAAAACATCTGGAGGGCAGAGTTTGCCAATGCCTGGTCTAAGGGTCAAGATTTAGCTTTGGAGGTGTATTATTTTTGCTGTTAACTAGGTTTTCTTTTTATGGTTTAATTATAAACTATCAGTGGCTAGTTAAATTTCATTGCTCATTTAATAACAGGAGGCGTTTCCATAAGCTTATTGCTCATGACCATTTAAACTTTGTGACGCCTTGCAACTGTTAGTGAGCCGGGTTAACCTTTTGATGTTGTGAGACCCATTGAACACTGTTAAATTATGGAAAGGCAGCATACAAATACGCTATGTTGGAATTGAATAAAAATTCAGTAAAAGTTATAGTTTTTAAAAAGATTCCACTTAAAACTGTGCAGGTTTTTGATTACAATAGAGGTTCTACTGCAAAGTTTTGACACTGTCTATAGTCTGTCAGTTAGGCTCCAACCACAGTCATCTGTATACACACTTCCATGAACAGAAAATCTTTCCTTTTGCAGAAGGGCAGCGGTGGATCCACTTCTTGGTGAATTCTGCTAATGCGATGATGCCCTGGGCAGCATCAAGGATCACCATGGTTGAGAAGGGGTTTCCACCATTAAGAGCCCCCTGGGAGATAGATTGACTGAGGGAAGAGGCCCCTGTGAAGGATGTGTTGCTCAAAGTTCCCTCAAAACCTGGAACAGAAACCACCTATACAGTGGTACCTCTGGTTGCGAATGGGATACGTTCTGGAGCCCCGTTCGCAACCTGAAAGGAACGCAACCCGCGTCTGCGCATGTGTGGGTCGCAATTCGCCGCTTCTGCGCATGACGTCATTTTGTGCATCTGTGCATGCGGCGAAACCCGGAAGTAACCCTTTCCGGTACTTCTGGGTCACCGCGGGACACAACCTGAAAAGACGCTACCTGAACCTAACGTAACAAGAGGTATGACTTTACCTGGAAATGGGTGTCTTGAGACCAGCTCTTCCGGCAGCCCCAGTTCTCTCCCAAGCACTCTCACTTCGTCCTTATGGAAATCTTTCAGTGGTTCTATTACCTTCCCCTGCAATGGAAAACAGCGCATTTCACATTCGGGCCCTCTCTTTGGAGTAATACAGAACTAATGAGAAAACAAATCTAATCCAACGATGCCGCTATACAACTGGGACTGTAATTTAAACCTCGCCTCTCCCACCCCAATGAAAACGTCGCAGGAGCCAAGGCAACAGGGAAGTAATTCAAAGGTAAGGAGGTCTTAGAAATTGCTGCGATAAGGCACAAACATATTCCATAAAATTAATGCAGTCTAGCTGTTTTTGGGGTGACTAAACCAGAACAAATTCTGATGTATATCATAGACTGGATCTGAAATGGTTGTTCTGCTTATCCAGTATAAAAATCTCCTTGTAAGTTGTCCTGTATACAAATACCCATGAGATGTTGGGTTAGTATTGGGGTGGGAGAAGGCCTTTATACATGAAAGGACCACCACCAATTTCTAAAAGCGTTACTTGAAAATACTGCCTAAAATGCTCAACGCTACATACAAAGCCATGAAGGAAATGCAACAAGTCTTGTGCTTCTTACCACAGTCAACCGGCCCATCTGAACAATTAGACGTAACTTTCTATTTACCTCTTCCCTCAGCTTTCTGATGAGCTCTGTGTCGTTGTGATGAGTCTTGATGACTTCTGCTTTGCCACTGGCAACCACAGAAGCACTTTCAATAAGGTCGGGCCTCAGCGTTCCCTGAGCGAGGAAGACTTCTTCCGGTTTCAGGTTCATTTCTCCAATAACTTCATTAGCAATCTACGGGGTTTGGGGGTGGGAGAAGAGGAGAAGATGCTTCCCTGTAATCAAGTCCTCAAATTTTATTACAAACTGTAAGCTTCATTTTTCCTCGAGAACTGCAGCCCTCTCTGCGTGATAATTCATGCTCCGTGCCTTCCACTTAGTAGGAAGCATAAATTTAATTTACCAACGTTTATCCATCCCCTTTTATTGTTAATGTAACAACCGATTTTACCAAAGCTATGAACTCTGTAACACTGGGAAGAAACAATGAACTGTATGACAATGTAGCCTTCTTCACATTTTTTCAACTGTAGATATTGCACTATTACAACGTACTAAATGTATTGTTTCTGTTGGCACAACAATAAGCGTGTGTGTGTGTGTGTTTGTGTATGAGATTAATGTTTGGCATTTTACACACTGTGTTTCTACCACAGTTTTTTTTTTACCATGCAAGCTGTTAGCAAAAATGCATTCGTTATTTTTTAGCCAAGCTAGCAATAAATAAACTCTTAAGAGTCTGTTCCAGCTGCTGCAGCAACCTCTTTCTAATGATGCAAGCATTTCCTTTATAGCTATTTGTGAATTAAGTGTCAGGGGTAGAGAACAAGTGCTTTAAGGGCCTGCTCTGTCAGTGCAGAATTACAACATGGGCATTCTGAGCATACACAAAATGCAAAGGACAGTGGGTAACCTCTACTGGACAAAAGGATGGGTTCTACTTTAAAACCTATTACATTTCATCTATATTAAAAGCTGGACTCCAGTTATAGGTACTCTGTTGAGGAGGGAGCTGCAGCCCTCGAATATTCAACTACTTCCACCATTTCAGTGATCTTCCTGGCTATTCCAGAGCTGTGGAACTTCCTTGAAAAAAAGGAAAACAACACTTCTCAAGCCAGTATGGCTCAATCTTGTTATTCCTATTCGGATCTGCTTACAAATCTATACCACAGACCCAAACTGACTAGAAACATCTGGGTGAAACATCTGGAGCTACCAACAATTCATTTAACCAGAGGCCTCTAAGTCCAAGGAAAAAGTGAAATAAGGACGTATTAAAATAAGAACAGTATATTCTAACTAGCCATTACACTTGAAATACATCCTAAAGGAGGTAACCTAAGGTCTTCATAATGAGATGGAGGTTGACCCTTTGGGGTGTAATATCACTGTGACGATGTCTCGGTCATGCTACGAGCACATCTCTGAACAAGAATGCGTTCCCAAAAATGTTGGGAACTGCTGAATTAACAGAAAATAGGCTTTTTCAGCTCCATGTCTAGAGATTGTAATTTGGAAGCAAAATGCCCAAATCAGCTAATGGGTGCGCGCGCACACACACACACACACAGAGCTAGCAAAATGTAAAACTTTAAAACTGTGAAAATTCAACATCCTCCTCTTGAAAACCAGGGCAGAGGGGAAGGGTACATTTGAAGTTTCTCCCTAAATTCTAGAACAGATACCTTCACAAAGGTGTCACCAATAATTTTGCGCTTTTCCTCGGGACTTGTTGTCATATTCAGTGTTTTGCTAATCCTTTTTCGTGGAGTTCTGTCTTCCTCGGAGATGGGCAGAGTTGTTGTGCCATTGTAGAACGAATGAGCTGCATTTACCACTGAAGAAACAGACAAGGTTTGCTGTTAAGAAAAACTCTGAAATGATATGAGAACTCGAATTCTCAGATATTCCCTTACCCATGTCCAACTAAAACATATTCCCCCCCAACAAAACATTTCCTTTGCTTCCTCCCCCCCCCCCCGCCGCCAAGTTATACTATAACAGGCCTAGGAAAACTCGGCCCTCCAGATGTTTTGCGACTACAATTCTCATCATCCCTTGCCACTGGTCCTGTTAGATAGGGATGATGGGAGTTGTAGTCCCAAAACATCTGGAGGGCTGAGTTTGCCTATACCTGTACTATAGCTTTATCAATTGGTGGGGGTGGGGGTGGGGAAACAGACTAGTTTAAACACAGGGTACTAAAGAAAAAAACAATTTAGCAACTAAACTGTAGAATCTAAAAACATACTGAACGCTGGCTTTTACAGACTCTTCTTTATTGGCATAATAAAAGGCAAAATTGTAAACTGCAGCCAGTCATTACCCACAAGACAGAGAAATGAGAGTAACCTTTCTTCCATGACAGTGTGTAAGTAATCCCAAAAGATGACAACAAGAGGAGGCTTGTTATATTATCACTACTATTTACACGACACTTTAAAAAGCAACAGAACCAGGAGACAGATCCCTGCTCTGCAAACCTTACAATAGAGACATAGGAGAAGCGAAGATTACAGGCAAGGAATACTTGACAACATCTGGTCTGGGAGCAGAGGGACTAACTCACAAAGTCTGTGTCATTCTTGCTTCCGGACTCGGCCATTAACCAAGAGGAGGCATTTTCCCAGAACAAATGACTATCCTAACTCGGAGCCACTGGAGAATGCATTAAACCAAACATTTCATGGGAAAATATGGCAAATAATAATAATAACTTATTATTTATACCCCACCTATCTGGTTGGGTTTCCCCAGCCACTCTGGGCGGCTCCCAACAGAATATTAAAAACACAATAAAACATCAAATATTAAAAACTTCAGATGTCTTCTAAATGTCAGATAGTTGTTCATTTCCTTGACATCTGATGGGAGCACGTTCCAGGCCCTCTGCCTGGTTCCCTGCAACCTCACTTTGCACAGTGAAGGAACTGCCAGAAGGCCCTCAGAGCTGGACCTCAGTGTCCGGACTGAATCATGGGGGTGGAAACGCATCTTCAGGTATACTGGGCCAAGGCCATTTAGTGCCTTAAAGGTCAGCACCAACACTTTGAATTGTGCTCAGAAACGTACTGGGAGCCAATGTAGGCCTTTCATGACTGGTGTTACATGGTCTCTGCCGCTGTGAAAAGGGGTGGGAGGGGAGTAAGGGAAAGTTGGAGCCGCACAGACATACTAGGGGAAGTTTATGGGGCAGAATGGGAAAGTGGGTGAGCCTGAAAACAGGAGAGGGGTAGCTTCTAACATCGTACCAAGAGAACTTTTATTTCTAATCAGCAGACTGTCCTTTGGTTTGAGGTTCCAGCAGATGTTTTCCAAGAAAAATAAAATCCTAAATTGGGGTGCACTCCCAGAGTCGTTGGATGAGAGGTCCCATCACTCCTGGCCATTGGCCATGCAGAATGAGATGGAATCCAACAACATTGGAAGGCACCATGTTGGCTAGCTATAGCTACAGATGAATCTGCATTTTCTGGGCTACAGACACTGAAAAGCAGTTAATGATCTGAAACAAATTAATGTTAAACTAACTAACTGACAAATGCAGGGACTAGCATTATGGAAGAAACTGGACCTTCGGGTTTTCCCCCCCATTTTTTGTATTTGTGAAGTAGGGAGTGCTGTTGTACCTTTGACTTGAATTCCCAACTTTTTGAGTGCTTCTTCCACAGACTGGCTTTCCCTCTTGCGCATGAATCCATTATCTATGTGCACTGCTATCACCTGGTCTTGATTTAAAGCCCGGTTCAGTAAAGCTGTACACACTGTTGAGTCCACGCCTCCACTGAGTAAAACCTGCAAGGGTTGATGGGGGCAGGGTGAGAATCATTAAAATGAATTTCAATAAACAGAAACATGCCTTCATCTACACACTGAATTTCATTTGCTTTACTACCTTTTCCATAGTTTACTGAAGTATCAAAGCCACAGTACACCAAACATGGTAGGAGAGCATCCCACTCTTTTTGTAAAAAATGACATAGACTAAAGCAGCCTTTGCTGACCTGATGCCCTCTAGGTGTTTTTGACTACAACTCCCATCAGCTCCAGCCAGCACAGGGGGCTGATGGAAGTTGTAGTCCAAAACATCCAAAAGGCACCAGGTTGGAGATGGCTGGGCTGAACCGTGTAAACAGGAAGCAGTAAGTTGCATCATAAGCAACTGCTATTCTTATGAAGAGGAATGAGCCTTGAAATCAAACTTTCAAAATCTTACCAGGACTTTTGACGAGCCTACTTTTTCTTTTATGTCTCGAATGCACTCCAGTTCTCTGTTTTGAACGGTGAAGGTGCCGCTGCAGCCAGCAATATCATAAAGGAAGTTTTTCAGCATTGCTTTTCCGTTCACTGTTAGGCTAACTTCAGGATGGAACTGGGCTCCGTACAGTTTTTTAGATTCATTTGCTATAGCTTGGGGTGTGAAAAGAAAAGTCAGAACACTTAAGAATCACATCAATATGGACAAGAGACCATTTATATTTGGGTGGTGAATTGCAAATAAACAATAAAACTAACCAGAGGGAAGTACTGTATTTTTTGCTCTATAAGACTCACTTTTTCCCTCCTAAAAAGTAAGGGGAAATGTGTGTGCGTCTTATGGAGCAAATGCAGGCTGCGCAGCTATCCCAGAAGCCAGAACAGCAAGAGGGATTGCTGCTTTCACTGCGCAGCGATCCCTCTTGCTGTTCTGGCTTCTGAGATTCAGAATATTTTTTTTCTTGTTTTCCTCCTCTACTAGGTGCGTCTTGTGGTCTGGTGCATCTTATAGAGCGAAAAATACGGTATTTGTTAAAGTGTGGTTAAATTTTGTATCTACCACCATCCTTCCTGGGGAAATCTAAGCATATACTATTGTTAATCTGTGTGTAGATGCACATTATTATTATTATTATTATTATTATTATTATTAACCTATTAGTCACTTTTTTGACAAAGTTAACACAAAGCAACTTACAACAATAAAGAACGCATACATTAAAACCAGTATAAAAACAAGAGAAAAATCTCAAACACATAGCAGAGAATTCAGCTATGCGAGGCTTAAATGTGGTTAATCTGAGGCAAGAAAACAAACAGTGTATGCTGAACAAAATACCAGAATAAGACTTTCTTTTTGTAGTAAGGATTGCTCTTGGCTTACTGATCACGATTCAAGTGAAATAAACCCTTGTCTGGACGTAACACTGAGCCAGGAATCGTGGCTTGCTCCCCACGCATGGTAGCAGGGAGGCTCAGAACCACCCAAATTATCCTGAATGTGCCAAACCATCAACTGTGATTGCCCATGATGTGATCTGGGTCAAAGCTGTTTCCCACATGAATTCCTTTGCAAGATGATCACAACACTATGGTATCCAAACTTCTCTAATTTAAAATACTATTTAAAAAAGTAACTCTTTGCAATTTATCACTGAAAACTAAGATAACGGCCACACTTTTTTGTTAGGAATCCAAGATGCAAATGCTTGCCATTTAAATGTACAGATATGGGAGATTCCTAAGTTGCACTAGACTCACTAAACTCAGTGGACTTAAGTCTGTTGATTTCAATGGGTTCATTCTCAGTATGGCTAATGTTGGATATCGCCCATTAGCTTTGCATTGTTTTTGTTCCACATTTTGCTTGACAGGTTCTTTATGAGCCAATCAATGGTTAACAGTGAGGAAAATACAAACCTGCTATAACATTTCCAGACTGTGCAACAACCTTGAATCCATCTGCTACTTTATCTACACTATCTCCATGAGTGAGGAGCACAATCTCGTCCTTCTGAAGTCCCCTAAATAAAAACAGGAAAAAACACAATCACCAAAACAATGCTTATTACTATTATTATTATTATTATTATTATTATTATATTATTTAAAGCCTTTAATGCAAACTTAAGTATACAATAGTTCTATTTATTTATTCCACCAATTAACATTTTTCCTTATTTCTTCAAAATGGTTCAGAAGGAACAGATTATGTCCAGAGCAGAGTACCATATTTTTCTGTGTATAAGACGCCCCCCAAGTATAAGAAACCCCCTGTTTTGGGGGACTCAAACTGAAGAATATGGGGGAAGATGGCTCACCCACACACGGCGAAAATTCCACCCCTTGTCTGTCCCCTCGCCGGCAGAAGCTGACAACTGCTTGCCCAATTGCCGCAGCGTCAGCCAATCAACCCCAGCCCTTGACGCAGCAACCAATAACACGCCCAACAGCCGCTGACAGCTGCAGCAGCAACCAATCAAATGTCCACCCTATGCACTATCCCTGTATAAGACGATCCCCACTTTTTAGCGTAATTTTTAAAGAAAAAACCTAGTCTTATACACGGAAAAGTACGATAATTGGGGAGGAGCACAGGGGGCTGGAGGAGGAGGAGAGGAGGGGTAAGTCTTTGTCCCGCTGGTGAAACGCTGAATTCAACCTACACATTTCCATTAAAAACTGCCATATAAACCTCAAGGCTGTCCCACAAATTAGCTTCCCCTTCCAGTACCTGCATACCTGAACAGTGAACATGTGTTATCCAGTGTAATGCTGAAGACTCCATCTTCTCTGACATCTTTTTTGTGTACCGTGCCTCCAAACACCTTGTTCATCATCTGACAAAATCAGAAAAAGTCTATGAGCTCCCACAATCCAGTCCTACCATCAGCAACACTGAACCATCAACAACACGGGCTCCCCTCCACCTTTGCACCAGTACCACCACACACAAAATTAGCCAGGGATCAGGCAACTCATTCAGCATGATGGAAACCCATAGCCAGCGACAAAGCCGCAGCTAATTTGGATATTAAAATTCAACACTGCATGTAATTTCCATAGGATTCGTAATCCAGCCTCTCTTATGTTTGCCTGCGCTGCTCCCCTCTACACCACTATACAGCAATAGACTGGTTCTCATTTTGTTTTATTTTTAATTCCAAAGGATTCCTACTAGCTACTGAATGAGGGGGAATGCTATGGAGGGGAAAGAGAAGGTTTATTAGCTGCTTCTGCCTTTCTTCGGGTATCTAGCTTGCATGAAAAGCACAAATTTAAAGAGTTACCAACAACATACGTGCTCAATTCTGGGAGAAAAATAAGCCAGGTTTAATAAGATATTGTTGCTTTGCAGGGTTTCCCAAAATGGTCAATAGTGATCCCCTGAGGTCAATGGGCTGTGTGTAGGGGATGAATAAAGACCTAGAGGTGGAAAGGGGCCTGGGTGGAAAAGGGGGTTTTGCAAGGCATAGGGCACTAATTTTGAAACTGGAAGTAAGAAGTACGAGCCACAGAAACGAAAGGTATAGGCACGTATAGAGTGCCTCTCCCTGGCACGGTGATTGATGATTAGTAAAAGTTGATTATACACTGTTATCACTTGCCTTTATTTACATTCCAAAGAGTTTGGGGTTGGGGTCAATGAAAGCTTTATAGGCTCAACAAGGGGTCAAGGAACTCAGAAGTGTGGGAAACCCTGTCTTAAAGAGCCCCGAAGAACCTCAGCCCTTCTCAAAGTGCCCTCTGTACCCTAAATACAAAGAGGCAACAAGAGAGTGTGAGTGAGACAGGGCCTTTTCAGCAGCTGCCCTGCACTGCAGAATGCCCTCCTTAGAGAGGCTCACCTGGTACCCATAGTGACATATTTTCAGCACCAGGTGAAGACTTTTTTTTTTTGCTCATCCATGTACTTTAACATTGTTTACCACTTTTAACATTAAATTTTATTTTAAAAATTATTCGGCTTTAGTCTGCCCTGAGAGCATTCAATCATATTATTTCCCTCTTCCATTGGGATCACCATACCCCTTTCTATATATTTGCATTTCTCCCCTGTACCATTGTTGCATTTTATCACATTTATTATTTTACTGTATTATGGCAAAATTGTACATTCCTAGAAGAATGGGTTACTAGGAGACCAGCAAACGCAAATAAAGTTTAGACACATTTCCTTGACTAGGAGAGATTGGCTAATTGAACCAGTTATGTAGCCTATCATATTTCGCCTCCAACTGCAGTGACTAGAGAAGAAAATAAGAACACTTATTTGGGAGAAAACCTCACGCAGCCCAGTGCAATTTTCTGTCAGGCACTCAATCAATAGGGCTGCAAAACATCCCAGAAGGCCTGTTCACAGCATCTTTATAATCTTGAGAGTATTTCTGCTAAAGGATAAGATAGAGTTATATGTCTCCTCTTTAATTAGCCTCCCAAGGCAAAGGGAGATAATTTACATTATTCTTCAGCAGGCTATGGAGCACTGTTTAGCATCATCTTTGCTCACTTGGCAATACAAATAAATGCCTGCCTAATTTTCTCCTATGCCCTATTTAGTTCTTTTGTCCTTGGCCCCACCCCTAGAGCCCAAAGCAGCCAAAACACTGAGGGGATGCATTTGAATATTGCATAACACTAATACAGTGGTACCCCGCAAGACGAATGCCTCGCAAGACGGAAAACCCGCAAGACGAAAGGGTTTTCTGTTTTGGAGGCGCTTCGCAAGACGAATTTCCCTATGGGCTTGCATCGCAAGACGAAAGCCCATAGGGAAATGCTGGCGGTCGGGAGCAAAGACTTTCACCCACAGCCGGCCTTCAGAAGAGGACCTCTTCTGAAGGCCGGCGGGGGGCAAAAGTCTTTGCTCCCCCCCCCCGCCTGCCTTCCCCCCGCCTGCCCCGGGCGATCTTAAAATGGTGGCGGGCGGGAGCGAAGCGTTCGCTGCCGACCCCCAGCATTTTAAAATCTCCCCGGGACAGCAGAGAAGTCTCTGCTGTCCCGGGGAGATTTTAAAATGCTGGGGGTCGGGAGCGAAGCGTTAGCTGCCGACCCCCAGCATTTTAAAATCTCCCCCTGTCCTGGGGAGATTTTAAAATGCTGGGGGTCGGGAGCGAAGCGTTAGCTGCCGACCCCCAGCATTTTAAAATCTCCCCGTGTCCCGGGGAGATTTAAAAATGCTGGGGGTCGGGAGCGAAGCGTTCGCTGCCGACCCCCAGCATTTTAAAATCTCCCCGTTTCCCGGGGAGATTTTAAAATGCTGGGGATCGGGAGCGAAGCGTTCGCTGCCGACCCCCAGCATTTTAAAATCTCCCCGTGTCCCGTGTCTCCCCGTGTTCCAGGTCATGTGGCCAGCATGACTAAGCCGCTTCTGGCGAACCAGAGCAGCGCACAGAAACGCCGTTTACCTTCCCGCTGGAGCGGTACCTATTTATCTACTTGCACTTTTTGGCGTGCTTTTGAACTGCTAGGTTGGCAGGAGTGAGAACATATTTAATATTTGCTAGTTGTTTTATTGTTTGCAAAACAATTTCTAATAATAAAATATGATTATTCACACACCTAAAAGAATCCTCTGCAGAGTCTAATAAGCAGTTTGAAGGTTGGAGGTGTGAAAATTGCTTCAAGCTACAATCACAAGAAAACATCTACTGGATAGCCTCATCTTGTGTCACTGGATAGCCACTGAACCCAGTTTCAATTGCTTGTAAATGCTTAGGACTTAATCTCACTGACAGCTGAATTGGCTCACCTGTCCTTGGATTATACTGCTCAAGGCTAAAGCTCAGAACGCATTGCTCCTCTATTCTTCCGATTCCCTATACATGGAAGAATATCTACTGTTCTGTGCTAAGGGTCTGGATCAGGCTTCCTCTGCCTCGGCCCTCCAGATGTTTTTGGCCTACAACTCCCATGATACCTAGCTAGCAGGACCAGTGGTCAGGGATGATGGGAACTGTAGTCTCAAAACTTCTGGAGGGCTGAGGTTGAGGAAGCCTGGTCTGGATTTTCCTGGATGGAAAGGCAATCATGTAAGTCCCTATCTGGAGTCAGAGCGCTATAACCTTAAAACAGATTTGTCACCTAATAATAATATTATAATAATTTATTATTTATACCCCGCCCATCTGGCTGGGTTTCCCCAGCCACTCTGGGCAGCTTCCAACAAAACACTAAAATACAATAACCTATTAAACATTAAAAGCTTCCCTAAACAGGGCTGCCTTCAGATGTCTTCTAAAAGTTTGGTAGTTATTTTTCTCTTTGACATCTGGTGGGAGGGTGTTCCACAGGGCGGGTGCCACTACCGAGAAGGCCCTCTGCCTGGTTCCCTGTAACTTGGCTTCTCGCAGCGAGGGAACCGCCAGAAGGCCCTCGGCACTGGACCTCAGTGTCCGGGCAGAACGATGGAGGTGGGGACGCTCCTTCAGGTATATTGGACCAAGGCCGTTTAGGGCTTTAAAGGTCAGCATCAACACTTTGAATTGTGCTCGGAAACGTACTGGGAGTTATATGGTCTCGCTGGTGTTATATGGTCTCGGCGGCCGCTCCCAGTCACCAATCTAGCTGCCACATTCTGGATTAGTTGTAGTTTCTGAGTCACCTTCAAAGGTAGCCCCACATAGAGCGCATTGCAGTAGTCCAAGCGAGAGATAGGTAGGGCATGCACCACTCTAGCGAGACAGTCTGCGGGCAGGTAGGGTCTCAGCCTGTGTACCAGATGGAGCTGATAAACAGCTGCCCTGGACACAGAATAGACCTGCGCCTCCATGGACAGCTGTGAGTCCAGAATGACTCCCAGGCTGCGCACCTGGTCCTTCAGGGGCACAGTTACCCCATTCAGGACCAGGGAGTCCTCCACACCTGCCTGCCTCCTGTCCCCCAAAAACAGTACTTCTGTCTTGTCAGGATTCAACCTCAATCTGTTAGCCACCATCCATCCTCCAACCGCCTCCAGACACTCACACAGGACCTTCACCGCCTAATCTACTGTTTGCGATAACTAGGCGCCATTAAAGGGTGCGTTCAGGCAGGGGTGTGTGTCCAAACCATCATAAAAGTGATCTAGGTGCATTGCCCTTCAGGATAGCTCAGTTGGTTAGATCATGGTGCTGATGATGCCAAGCTTGCCAGTTTGATCCCCTGATGGGACAGCTGCATATTCCTGCATTGCAGGGGTTTGAACTAGATGCTCCTCAGGATCGCTTCCAACTCTACAATTCTATGATTCTATGTCTGCATTGGACATATGGAAACATGCAAGGCACTGCTATTCCTGGTTTCCAGCTCCTTTAGTGATGTGTATTAATAAAGCACTAGAGTATCTGCTTTTTTATTACAGTGTTCATACAGATGGGGGAAAGCCATTCATTATTCCTTCAGCATCGCATCATAGCAGAAGATTATCCGCTCCACTCAACTAGTGGGGCCAATGTTTCTATCTTGGATTACAGCCTTCGCCAACGACAGCCTACTCCTTGTGCGTATAAGCATGACTATTGCAGCGAGCAATCTGAAAACTTGCTTTATTATTATTTCTCACTATACTGTATTTGATCTCTCACAAAGCCTTGCTATTTGAGGGAGTTCTGTTTTGACACGGCATTCATCGCGCTTGACTGTTTCCACATTGTTGCAGCAAACTTTTAAGCAGCGGTATTTGATTTCACAGAGACGAGCAGACCCCGTACACAGTCTTCTGCAAGCTCACTCAGGCTCAGTCATGGGGCTGGTGTTGTTGTTCCTGGATTTGCACACTAATGCGCTGCAGTACAACACCGAGATAGTCCCACTTCCTGGCACAACACACACTTTGGAATTTGTAGACAGAAACCAGTTTTTGCTTCCCCAAACTTAGTCAGGGCTTTCCAATGATTTCTGGGCTTTAGACTTCACCCTTAAATAGAAAGCAGGACCTGCCCATCTCGTTCATACCAAAGGCTTTTCAAATCCAGCAATACTCTGTTCTCACAGTGGCAAAGCAGATGGCTATGGAGTGCAATACAGTGGTACCTCGGTTTACGAACAGTCCTGTTTACGAACCATTCGGTTTACGAACTCCGCTAAACCAGAAGTAGTGCCTCGGTTTGCGAACTTAACCTCGGTCTACGAACGGAAGCTGAACAGTAGAAGGGAAACGGCGGCGGAAGGCCTCTTTAGGGAAAGTGCGTCTCAGTTTAAGAACGGATTTGGTTTAGGAACGGACTTCAGGAACGGATTAAGTTCATAAACCGAGGTACCACTGTATATTGCCCTAACCCAAACAGCTTTCATATCACTTACTTCCGATGTAGAAAAATGAACTGTATAAAATACTTCATTTTCAAAAAGAGAAACACAGCCACATTGGACCTCTCAGCCTCATTCGTGCTGCTCTCACAGAAAGCTGGACTTCCCTCGCTGACACCCCTAGGCTCAGTCCCTGCTCTCTATTTCACGATTCATTACACTTTTCCCACTAGACCCATCCTGCAGGGCACGTGGTTGGGTAAACCACCACGGTTCTCATGGTCTTGCCAGTTCCAATTGCTCTTTCCCCTCCTCCCATTTTGTCAGGGAACTGCCATCAGCTCAGAGGCGAGAGGTGGAAGGGCAGTTGTGTTACAGGGAGCCTCTGAAGATCTTGTGAAGCAGTTCCTCCTCTGGCGAGGAGGAAAGCCCCGCCTCCAGTGGGGAGGGGGCGCAGGGACCAGAAGATGCTAGGGAGAGCCTCAACACCGAGCCTGAGCAAAGCGAAGGGGAGGCAAGTCCCCCTTTGCCAGCGGCCACTCTGCGCAGGAGGTTTGGGCGCAGAGAGGAGAGGAGAAGGATGGGGGTCACATGACTGTTATGCTGGGGGAGGTACAAGGACCGGCCACGCCCAGATTCTGCTAGCGATTGAGCAGACATGGACTTGCGACGCTCTGCACTGTAAATAGTTTGTATTAATAATAAAGCCTGGAAAAGACAGGTTGGAGACTTGCCTGTTTGCTCTCGAGCAACCACACCATCACCTGATACATTTGCTTTAGAAGTTCATGCTCATTTTAATGTACGCAATTCTCCTGGCTCTTGGTCATCCCTCTGGCCTTTCTAAGTTCGGATTTACCTCTTTCCTCAGCTGCTCTTCTTCTATGCTCTTGTTCCTGGCCATTTCAGGACCTATATTCCAGAAGATCTCTCTCTCTCTCTTCTTGATTCTTGTATTCAAACCTTCTTCCTCCGTGGCAACTCATTCTGCTGGTCACAACTTAGGCCTTGTCACTCCTTCACGCCACTCCAATTTTCGCTCCAGCTAAGGTATGTCAGGTCTAGCCTTTCCAAACGCCATCCTTTTCTAGCTACCGATTCTAACAAACTCCCTGTTCTATTTTACGTTGATTATTGCAATCATTTGCTTATTGTTTCTTCCTACCCCTCCGCTTAAACCTATTATCTCTATTCTCAACACTTCCCCAAGTGCTTCATTTTCTTCTCTTCATGCTTTAATCGCGTTGCACCTCTCTTAAGGGTTCTCTCCACTGGTTTCCACTATTGAACCGAGACTGCTGCTGACTTCCAAGCCTCTTCACGGTCTTGGCCTGTTATCATCTTAGTTGTTTTCTCTCTATTCTCCTTCCTTATTCTCACCATTCATCAGATACTAATCTTCTTACTAAGCTTCCACTCTCCCTTGTGCTATTCCTTGTCTTGTGTATTCTCTCTCACGACCCCTTCGGGCACGGAAATCTCTCTCGTGAAATATTTGGCAGCCTTGCTCTTTGTTCTCATTTAATAAATTATTAAAACACACTTTCTCTCTCTCTCTCTTTGGCATTTCATTCTTGATAACGTCCCGCTTTGATGCATGTGTCTTCCTATCATCAGGGCTTATTTTCTGCCCTCTTAACTTTTTGCTGTTGTTTTGCTTTTGCAACATTTCCCTCCAAACCACCTCTCATATTATTATCTGGATTGTGAGCCTACAGAGAAGGCTCCTAATATTCATATTTCTAAAGCACTTATTTTTTATAAGTAAACGTAAGGTCTGTGCATGTAAAGTTCTCACAGTGCCTTAATGAGATCCCCCAGATTAATTTGCGTAAATGCTAAATATCAAAGCAAACTTAAATACCAATACAAGCCCATTTAATATAACTGACAGGCCACAGCCATCCTTGTTTTTAAAATTATGCATGTTTTCCCCCCAATAGTGATGGCCTCAAAAGGCTCATGAATCACCACACAGCAGGCTTCTGTACACTTTGAACAACAGATGTGCTTGCAAAAGCCTTGTATCCATGCATAGATTGCACCTGGGACTGCACTGAGCGTGATATGCAAGGAATTAATACACAACCATTTCTCAATTTTTCAACCAATTTCTCAACCATTTCTCAAAAGGGTCCTTATCTGCATCTGCTTAAATCAACTTCAAACATAATTTTCATGCATTGTGCAGCTCTACAACACACACAAAAGCCAGCAATTTGCTCTTAACTGAGCTACAAAAACATACAGCCATAAAATGATATCTGCACCTGCATGCCATAGCAGATTCCAAGGACTGGTTTGCCTATCGTAAATATTGCTGGGTCGAACCAGGGAGCATCTTCTGCATAAACTGAATTTGGTCCTCCGGATATGATAATAGCCCTGCAAAAGAAACAGGTATTTTTTTAAAAAAAATAAAAAAGTAAAGATTGATTTTTGGAACTAAACCACTTTAATAAAATTTCCATTTTAATACCTACTTTCAAAAACAAAAACCCTTTATAAATAAAGTTGTGGCATCCTGATCTATAAAATGAGCAAGCCGTGCTTTACTGGAACAGTGAATTCTCAAGACTGACATTAAAAAGACTTTTTTTAAAAAAAAATAATATGTTCATTAGTGCAGCTTTTAAAAAATTAGAAGCAAATAAGAACCACCCTGTAGTTAGATATGATTCTGCCTTTCTACATTTCAGAATCCAGCAAAAACAAAAATTATGCTATATGCCAATGACTCACATCTCCTAGTTTAAAGGTTATGGGGTATTTTTGATCCAAGAATCCGAGGCTTCTTTGTTAATTCTTACAAAGAATAATTCTTATAGGTGTTGTGAAAACTTTTTTTAAAAAACACCCTATAGTTTATTAGCATTTTCACAGTATTATACAGCAGTATAGTCCTTTATTTGTGCAGATGATTGGTGGCTTCGTCGATGTGTGTACGTTTGGCTGTTGCGGCCCTGCGGGTGAGCAATTTATGGCAACCCCCCCCAAAAAAAACCCCAAGTCTTGGCAATCCCCTCCGTAAAAAAGCTCAACAACTCTGGGCAATCTCTCCCCCCCCATTTTCTCAATTTTTAGTCCCAAAAAAGAGGGGGCGTCTTATACCCGGGGTGTATATCCCACTTAAATACGGTATATCCCACTTAAATATATGTATCTCAAAGTAATTTAAAACCAAAGTTTAAAAAATATACAATAAAAATCACAAACATAGTTAGAAACAGATTTACCGTATTTTTCAATCTATAAGATTTGGGGGGACTCCAATTTAAGAAAATGGGGGGGGAATCTATCCATGTAGAAGACACCCCCAAATTTTGGACATTATTTTTTAGGGGGGAAACCTAGTCTTATACACAGAAAAATACGGTAGCTGTACAAGAACACAGGTGTTGCCTAAAAGCCCAGGGAAACGAAAATGTATTTGCCAAACAACAAAATGGTGACAGGGTTGACCCTGGGGACAACATGCCATAAACGTGTGTGTGTGTGTGTGTGTGTGTGTGTGTGTGTCCCTGTGAGGTAGGTTAGGCCCAATGTCACCTAGTCAGTTACATGGCTGAGTGGGGATTCAAACTCTGGTCTCCCATGTGTAACACTGTCACATGACACTAGCTCAGCATTAATTTTGGACACTGATGGCACAAAGGGGCATTCTCAGTAGCTATTTTAGAACAACAAATCGTCCTGTCTCTAGAAAATCTCCAGAACCGAATCCTAAATATTATCTAGAAATACTTAAAAGACAGGGAAGGATACTATATATCTAAAAGCTACCAAAAAGAGTTCACTAATGTAGAAAAAACTTGGAAAACAGCTCTTTGTAAAAGATTTACATATGAAGCCAATTTATGGAACGCTTTCCACTGTATTAATGATTTTATTTTTTTTAGATTTCTGGAAATTACTTAACACTTTGTTAACCAGACTTTAAACATCTGGAAATAAGTGACGAGAGGAACTATCATTCTGATATCGAACTTCAGTGTTGCAATAGGCACTTTATTTGTAGGCTTGGGCAAACCTTTCAGCTTTTTGGCTTGAGGCTCTTTTTTAATGCTCTTTTCTTTTTCTTAGGGGTTGACAATATAAACAAGCAGCAAAGTTTTTTGTGGACAGCACCACTATAGGATGTGTGAACACAGAAGGGTGGGGGGGTGTTACATATTCAAATATTCTCCCCCTTGTGTTGCAGCAGAGGAAGGAAATCTCCCTCTGCTATGCAGATTTTTTATTTTAAAAAATCCTGTCAGGGGAAAGAGTTAACTTAGCATCCTTACAGGCCAACTTCAAAGCATGCAACCTGATGTACTTAAGCCACTTGATCCTTTGATTGCACAAATTGGCCCTTAGGGCCTTAAGGAGGTGCCCTAATTACTTAAGGCACTTCCTGAAGGCTCTAAGCCTATTCCTACCTCCTGAGAGTCTCTATTAAAGAAACATATAGGTTTTAAGGGGCGGGAGAATTGTGGTACATTTCCTCTGGGACAGAAGATGGGGAGAGGGGTAATTCATGTGAGACTCATCACTCCGATTCCTGCTCAGCTCAAAGTTTTACACTTAAAATAGGTTCCTTGGGATAAGCATGGGCTACAAATAAGCTGAGCAGACAGGCAACTAATCAGTTTGTTTTTAATGTGGGAATTTGTAATAAATCTGCGAGCGCCATTTGCTGGATTTCTGAACCAAATTCCCTGTGCCGTTCATACAAACTATGAATGTTCAGACAGACCGTTATTATGTCTACTGTCATCTACAAAAATAAGCAGAAGTGAAGCGGGGGGGGGGGGGGAGAGAGAGAATAATCTCCAAATTTTTTCGCTGGAATGAGGAAACCGAGTGTGTGTTTTTTACAGCTTCAGCTCAAGGAAATCACAAGCTGTTTATTTGACTTTGTAACAAAAATGGAAAAGTAATATTCCCTGAGGAGAATCGGCATTTTCTTCTGTGTATTGAGCTTAAGTTGTGAATGTTTCTGTTGTCACAATCTTTCCAAAGGAAAACAGGCATGTTTTGGAGCAAGACACAGGCAATCTATGCATCAGGCAAAGAAGGATCTGAACAGGAAATTTAGAGAAGACAGTGTTGTCATGGGAAGCCCGTTATCTGACGCAGGAACAGATTCCTTGCGAACCTTTACTCCTGTTGTGAAGACAGACTATCTAGAGAGGGGCTGGGTGTTTCAAACAAGAATGGAAAGGAAGTGGGAGGAAGGAGTATGTGGTTGTTATCCTGCCTCATCCCACTACCCCTGGTTTATAACATCCTAACCCACTTCATGATCACTTCAGGAACTCATGGAACTGGCTGGATTTCCAGACCTCTCTGAGAAACATTTATGAGGATTACTTTCCTGTTGACAGCCTTGTTGAACTATGAAATGGCCGCACATCATCTACCCGTTCAACTCCTGCCACTCACTCTGTTGACAGATGCTCCCTCCTTCCATTTAACAGAAGACAGAGCTCTGGTTTTAAACAAAAAAACAAGCAACCAGCTGCAATAATAGCATTTAAAGACTGTGCCACAAAACTGGTAGGTTTAGGAAAACAAGTGTATACCTGTTATCTCTGCTGCTACTGCGTTTTTAACATTCTGATAAGAAAAGCTTTTTATGGGGAGGTAAATGGGACTTGAAATCTAGGAGGTTTAAGCTGTTACCTTCTGCATTCAGTCCTACAAGCATGTTTGAATTCATTCTCATTGGCAAATCCTAGAGTTGGCTAAATTGCAGGCCTTTATTTGTTGCTGGACTCCCAAACCTCATCAGCTCTAGCCAGCATATTCAATAGTCAGAGATTATGGGAGTTGTAGACCAGCAACACCCAGGGGACCAAATGTTAGCCGCCAATAGTTTTAACTTAGGCACTAAAATAATATTTTCCTACGGCTGCTGTACCACTCATCTGTTTTTTTACCAGTAATGCTTGCTTTGACATTGACTGGGTGCCATTTCTCCTATGAATCTTGTTAGGCCACAATTGTGGCACTGGAAGTTCTACATCAAGGTTGCTTCCACCATCCTTGGCCACTGGCTGGAGCTGATGGGAGCGTCTGTAGGGCCACAGGTGAGCTGCCCCTAGTCTAAGTGTGTGACTGTTAAAATAGCTGCTTGAAAAGCAATTACTTGCTCCTCAACTGAAAGGTCCAGAGAGTGCAATAAGGAAATCGCTTGTTGTCTTTTCCCCTCATCTCTCTATTAAGGAATCCCGATGGATTCCACCTTAATACAACTGGGGGAGAAATAGCAGAAAGGTTTTGAGTAAGCTTGTCCTCAGCACGCTGATAATACCCAACTTGATCTTTCTGTTCCATTCAGCCCTTACTTCCCACAATCACAGTGTCTCGGTAGAGGGAAAGCTCACAGGTTTTCTGATCTGAAATGGGTCAAGCCAGGAATCCCACCACTGAACTTGAATCTGACCCAGTGTTTGCCATATGTGAAGAAGAAGAAGAAGAAGAAGAAGAAGAAGAAGAAGAAGAGGAGGAGGAGGAGGAGGAGGAGGAGGAGGAGTTTGGACTTGATATCCCGCCTTTCACTCCCCTTAAGGAGTCTCAAAGCGGCTAACAATCTCCTTTCCCTTCCTGCCCCACAACAAACACTCTGTGAGGTGAGTGAGGCTGAGAGACTTCAGAGGAGTGTGACTAGCCCAAGGTCACCCAGCAGCTGCATGTGGAGGAGCGGGGAAGCGAACCTGGTTCACCAGATTATGAGTCCATCGCTCCTAACCACTACATCATGCTGGCGCTTCCAGGATGCTGACATTCCAGGATAGTCCTTGATGGGTTGGCTATCCAAATCCCCTCCCTCTCAAGTCTAGAACACTTTCAGAAGGATTTTGCATGTGTTTTAACATCTGATATGTCGAGTGTCAGATCCAATCTGCATTTGCTTTTTAAAAATAAAAATTAAAAAAGCAGGGCAGTATGTTGTATGGTCTGTATCATCTCACAATATTCCTGGCAACTAAATGACTAAATGCCCCCTCTATGGAACACTTCCTAAACATAGGAGAAACATAGGTTATAGTGAAGGTTCTAGAGTAGACTTCTATCCTGTACTGGTCTTCTGCCTGGCAAGGGGAGCATTCAAACATTCAATCCTCCATCTCCACCCTTTAATGCAGTGATGGCCAAATTTGGCCCTTCAGCTGTTTTGGGACTACAACTCCCATCATCCCTAGCTAACAGGAACAGTGGTCAGGGATGATGGGAACTGTAGTCCCAAAACAGCTGGAGGGCCAAGTTTGGCCATCACTGCTCTAATGGTACAATAATCCCAGGAGAAGAAACCATGTACATTTTCCTCAGTACATCCCTCACTAGGTGTTCCAAAGTGATGTTCCAAAGCTGATATCAGAAAATTGATTTGACAGTCAAGTTACTCGTTTTAAATAAAAGCACCATGCATTCCTCCTTCTGGCTTTCCAGATGAAGTTTAGAACTTAAAAGATAAAACAAAAAACAGAACGAATCTTACCGGAATCCCTGTTCTTTGATGGCAAAGGCAGGTGTTTCCAAAGGGAATATCTCCGACTGGACAAACAGTTCTCTGACTCGGCGATCTATGACTTTCCCATACTGCGCCCCAGCATCAAGTATCACTACAGCTCCATCGTAGCGGCAGAGACCATCCTTGAGATCTTCTCCAGCATTCTCCAACTGTGAACATTATTTACATAAACACTTTTATCACTCGGATTATCAGCGCAGAGCAAGAACAGAAAATTAAACTACTTTTAAAATGAGAAGTAAGTAGCTAAGTTAATTATTTAAGATACTTGCAAGCTCTTGCTTTGGGAAGTCTCTTGGAATAATTAATGCATGGTGTGGTTTTTTTTAAAAAAAGCAACAACAACCCTAGACTTTAACATTATATGCAATAAATAGAAAATTTAGGAGAAACACGTTGCATTAGTCAAGTTTAAAAGATACTATTTATTAATGAATATAGATGCAATGTTGGTCATTTTGCACCCCTTCCTAGGGCTCTAACCCATCCTTCCTTTTTGCCATTGCTTCTGCTAGAAGCAGCATCTAGTAATTGGCAACACTTTTATGGGAGAGGGTCACCCAAGAGGAGGCTTGTAACAGCCACTCAGCTTGGGCAAAAACGTACTACTTTCAGGTGAACAGGATGGGAAGATTTTAGAAATGAGATGAGACTGCATCCCTAATCAGGCTAAGGATGTGTCACAAGAAATTACTAGCTGCAGAGACAGATGGGCTAATAAAATGCGTATTCTAGCAACCATTGCGGATGTATCTGGAAGCGTAGCTTAGAGATTCAGGTGGTATAGGATGTGAAATTGTTTATAATTGTATATATACCGTATTTTTCGCTCTATAAGACGTACCAGACCACAAGACACACTTATAGTTTTTGGAGGAGGAAAACAAGAAAAAAATATTCCGAATCTCAGAAGCCAGAACAGCAAGAGGGATCGCTGCGCAGTGAAAGCAGCAATCCCTCTTGCTGTTCTGGCTTCTGGGATAGCTGCGCAGCCTGCATTCGCTCCATAAGACGCACACACATTTTCCCTTACTTTTTAGGAGGGAAAAAGTGAGTCTTATAGAACAAAAAATACGGTATGTGTGTATGTGAAATTGTGGATTTGTTTTTATTGTGAAACTGCTTTGAGATATTTCAAGGGAAGCGACTGATAGATGGATATAAATAAATAAATTGCACTCACGAAGGGAATAAATGGGGGTACTTGCATACAAATAGGTCTGCCCATACCATATTACTCTCCTTCACAGTATGAACTGGAATGACCTATGCATTAGGGCTTCAAAACTGGTTTGAAGTCCATATTGTGATATCAGTTTCATCATTTCTGACCTGGCAATATATCACGAATCATGACGTGTGTGTGTGCTATGCAAAAACCACAATGAGGGGGAAACCGTGAAGCCAGTCAATGCTTCTCTCAATTCCTGAAGCCCCTGTTAACTCTTCTGGCTCAGCTGTCCCCTGCTCCATGCAGTGGGCAGCAAATCGCAAAAGCAGTCACTGGCAAAAATCAGGATGCGGGGAAAACTGTGAAGCCAGCCAGTGCCTCTACATAGCTCCATCCATATTTCAGACATTGTGATATATCAGTGTAACGCAATATTTAGCTGGTGATATATTACAATGTTGAAAACCAGATTTCGCGCAGCCCTGACACACACTTTCGTAATTTTTTTAAGTTAAGAGTCTGACCGCAATCGGAAGAAAACTCACAGACAGAACATTTCCTTTATACTGTGCAAAATTAAGCATTTTCTCCTTGGCGCATAGGCTGCCACAATGGAATGCCTAGGCACTGTTCCCACCCCCAATGGGGGGGTGATGTTGATGAAGAAGAAGATTCATTCCATTTCTATATAGCTTTATATTTTAAAGAACAAATCTCAAAGCATTTTACAGCACATCAAAACATCAGATAAAGCAATCCAGAATAAAACTATTTCAAAGGAAATATTGCGGATCCTTCTCTAAATGACATTTTGCTTTCCGCAGTCGCCAGCCTGTCATGCGGAAATCTCCGCGTGGTGGCAACTGGACCTGCAACAGTCGCAAAACGAGTCTGGCACCTGGCTAATTTTGAACACTGTTTATGGCTCAGGTGTGCATGAACTTGGGCAAGAAACCCCCCCCCCAAATTAGGAGCTGGAGCTGGAGAAGGTACTGTTCTGTTGGCCAGGCACAGACACAAGTATTTTTATACTAGGCCTCTACAACCCAGAGGTTTCATGTTACCTAAAGACCTAAACTCACCAGACTTAGGTCCCAGCCTGGTTCCAGCAACCCTGGTTCAAGTCCTAATGTCCATGGCATCAGGGAGCCTTGTATGTCATTTGTGAATAAGCAATCATTCTTGATTTAAGAAATCAAGGCTGTTATGCATCATTCCATGCATGCTCTTAAGGAAGAGGTACGGAATGGGTACCACGTTAAAATACTGCAGTCAGTCATGTGCCGCATGCATCTCACTCTAATCAATTTGATTTTATAAGAGTACAACTGGATACAAGATTACAGATTTCGACTGGGTGTTAAGGCAATCTTGTAACGTGTGTGTGTGTTTGTGTGACTGTAACTGCCAAATGCAAAAGTAACAGAGGATTAAATATAGCAATATCCTCGGGGTTTAGAGGTTTGCAGTGTTTATGTACTACATCTGTTTTCAAAACAAAATACAAAAGGCTCTTCTGCCATACAAGCACAAATGGAACATTTCAGGGGGGTGCATTGGGCAAAGCTTGTTTTTCTACTTCCGTTTACATTCCTTTCCCCTAGTAAAGTAGCACTAACAGTGGCTAACAATATTCCAGAAACTTTTATTTCCTCTCCATTCTCCCTTCTATTTTCCTCCTTCCCTACTTGTGGTCTCTCTCTTGCACGGGACATGGGTGGCACTATGGTCTAAACCGCTTGCCGATCAGAAGGTTCAAATCCACACTCTCGTTGCTCTGTCCCAGCTCCTGCCCACCTAGCAGTTCAAAAACATGCCGGTGCAAGTAGATAAATAGGTACCACTGTGGCAGGAAGGTAAACAGCATTTCCATGAGCTCTGGCTTCCGTCACGGTGTTCCGTTGTGCCAGAAGCAGTTTAGTCATGCTGGCCACATGACCTGGAAAGCTGTCTGTGGACAAACGCCAGCTTCCTCGGCCTGAAAGTGGGATGAGCGCCACACCCCATAGTCACCTTTGACTGGACTTAAACATCCAGGGGTCCTTTACCTTTTACCGTCCTCTTGCATGCTAACTATGGTTAACACCACATCTTAACCAAACTGAACTCTAACATAGGTAGTTCTAAACTTTGAAGTCTGAAGCCACTGAATTCAGATTTGGGATAAAACAAACTATGGCTAGGGTTCAATTTTAGCAAGGGCTCTATTTTTATACTTTGTTGTTTCAACTTTTATTTGTGAACTGCCCAGAGAACTTTTTAATGGGTTGTACAGAATTGCTGTAAACACACACACAAGAGGAGGAGGAGGAGGAGGAGGAGGAGAGACCAAGGAGTATACCTTATCTCTTTAGCACAATTATGAGACTGACAAAATGTAAAGTGAGCCATGACAGAACACCAGTGTTATATCAACTGGGGGCACATGACCAAACTTTAACTAGATTTTTTTGCCACTGAATTATTAGAGAAAGGAAATCCCTGCTGTCCTGCCATTAAGTGCCACTTTTCACCTAGCCATTAAGGAGATGAGAATTATGGAATTATTATTTTTAAAAAAATAAATGTGGAGGCACACTTGAGTGCTCTCCCAATTCTCCACCTTCCTCTATACCCCTGGCTTGAAGGTTAAAGTCTCAGCTTGAACATTCCTGTGCTTGATGTCATATACTGTACTGTATGATGTCAGGCCCAGGATGGTGGCTACAGTTTACCAAAAACTGCCTGGTGGGCCAATCTCTGAGGCCTGGCAGGCCTAATTAGGTATGTGAGCCAGAGGTTCTCCCCTGCAATTAAGGGTTATTATTTATTTATTAAATTTCATCTAAGAATCGCAAGGTGGTTTACAATATAAAAACACAAAAATTAATAATGTAACAACAATCAAAATAATACGCACACCCCGGCCACACACAGTTGAAAAGGCCATAGAAGGTCTGGCTGAAGAGGAATGTGTTTGCCCAAGGATATGTAATGAAGGCACCAGGCGAGCTTTCCTGGGGAGAGCATTCCACAAACAGGGAGCCACTGCAGAAAAGGCCCATTGTCCATGGAAGGAGAACAAAGGAACAAAACTTTTAAGTCTCATAAAGGCAAACTGCTTTCAGGATGTCAACACCATGGGTTGTAACTGCCATGCACTGGAGTAAGGAAAGTTGCCTATTGCTCAGGCTGGTTGAACGGCGAATGGTTAAGTCATGTCATAATACAGGGGTCGGCAAACTACGACCCCTGGGCAGGATCAGGCCCACCTGGGTCCTAAATTTGGCCCACGCCACAAAGCCGAGATTCCCAGCGACGGCAATGGGAGGAAGAGGCCAAGCAGCGGCGGCTCTTCCAATCAAACGCCGCGCCTAGTTTACCACAGTGCAGGGACATCTCTGCCAATCAAATGCCGTACCTGGTTTGATTGGCAGAGCGGCCGCCGCTCAGCCTCTTCCACCGCCACCCTGATGCTCCTGTGGGCCAGAGATCGAAGTGGACAAGCTCACTCTGCCTACCCGCTTCACGAGAAGGAGCAGCAGTGGTGGTGGTGATGGCAGCAGCCCCTGGGAAAGTAAGCACAGCTCCTTCTTTCTCTAGGCAGGGAGGATGCCCATTTCACGCCAACACCGCCAGCCCTTCGGCGAATGAGGCAGGCAGCAAACCAAGAAGGTGGCTGGGGCTGGGGTGGGTGAGGAGGGGGACTACTTGTCCCCCTTGCAGTGTGCATAGGAATAGATAGGTAGGTAGATAGATAAGATAGTCCGGCCCTCCACAAGGTCTGAGGGACAGCGGACCGGCCCCCTGCGGAAAAAGTTTGCTGACCCCTGTCATAATACCATCATGTGGATTCACTCTAAGTGAATGCAGAGTACTGTGGTCAGTAGCTGCAATAGTAGGATTCTACATGGCACATAGTTTCGAATACAACTGAAATTAGATAAAAGGGAAATCATTAAAAAGCTAAGAACATTTGAATTGAAAAACTTCATTCAG